AGGTGGTACATGGCTCAATTTTTGCAACTATGAGAGGGGTCTTGGGGTCCTAGTGGACAATCATTTAAATATGAGGCAGCCGTGTGCTGCAGCTGCCAAAAAAGCCAAATGTAATCCTAGGTTGCATTAACAGAGGGATAAAATCAAGATCATGTAAAGTGTTATCACGTTATAATGCCTTGGTAAGATCACACTTGGAATACTGCATCCAATTTTGCTCACTACAATGTAAAAAAGATATTGAGACTCTGGAAAGAGTGCAGAGAAAAGCAACAAAGATGATTAGGAGGCTGGAGGCTAAAACATATGGTTGCTGGAACTGGATATGTCTAATTTAATGAAAAGGACTAGAGATGGCATGATAGCAGTATTCCGATATCTCAGAGGCTGCCAAAAAGAAGAGGGGTGTGTGTGTCAAGCTATTCTCCAAAGCACCTGAAGGCAGGAGAAGAAACATTGGATGGAAACTAATCAAGGAGAAAAACAATCTGGAACTAAGGAGAAATTTCCTGACAGCTAGAACGATCAATCAATGGAACAACTTGCCTCCAGAAGTTGTGAATGCTCCAACACTGGAAGTTTTTAAGCAGAGATTGGACAACCATTTTCTGAAATAGTATAGGATTTCCTGAGCAGTGGGACAGCAGGCTTTCTGAGCAGGGAGTTAGACTAGAAGACCTCCAAGGTCCCTTCCAACTCGTGTTAGGAATTAGGTGTTTCAGCAAAGGGATGCCGTGTAGGAAAACAAACTGCCTCTGTGCCTAGTTGTTTTGCCATGCAATGCCCTATAGCGGTGACACAAAGGGTGTGAGGAGGAGTTGGAACAGCTCATATCCAGGATGCGAAGGGTCTGTAGATATTTTCTCAACCTTCTTTCTGACCTGTGCAATATATAGGTCCTGAAGGCAGGCTGGTTACAATACACAGATCTTAAAAAGATAAAATTAAAATTTTAAAAAGTTGCCAAGTTTGGAGACTCCTAATCTAGAGTAAGGAGGTACCAGCCAGATGAACTAATTCTACTTTGCTATAGTTAGGTTACATTCACACAATTTTGCAAGTCTGAAAGCCCGTTTCTCCCCCTTCCCCCTTTATGGCTCAAGATACTAGGGAGGGTCCCTTTTGAGACTTTTGCCACCCCCCATTCCTTCTGGGGACTAAGCTGCCTTTTATCTGACAGTTCCAGTAGCTCGTCTCCCAAGGTCATTCCCACATACCACCATCACCAAAGGGTGGGAAATGAGATCTAATTATACGAGGGTTATTGAAGGCACAGGACCAGTCATTCAGGAGTTTGCCTTTCTCACTGGATGGGGTTCATTGCAACAGTGGCTATGGGTGTAAGTGAAAAGCAATGTAATAGTAACTCTGCCTTTTGCAAAAAACGTTGCAACTAAGGGCAGTCCATTAGATAGGGCAGGAAAAAGTTGCAAAAGGAGATGCTGGTGAGGGCTGAATAACACTTCTGTGTACAGCTGTGTGCGCTTACTCTTGTCTATCCTCATTGAATTACAATTCTTCTTAGCTTTTCTCCAATAAAGTTTACATATCGGGAATTTTTGGATTTTCACCTTGATGATTCTGGATTCTGAAGAGCGGTAAGGATGTATTTGTACACGGTACCGTTTATATTATACAAGTCAGCATTCTAAAATATCAAGCCATTGCAACGATTTGTGTGACACGCCTACACAAACATGTACAAAAATCATTTATTGTTTAATCATACAACACGTGCGTCCTTAACTTAGTTCATCTTGCTCCACTGTATTTTTAAGTTGGAAAAAGATGGATCCAGGAGCAGAAAGTACGGCTCCTGAAAAATCAGACTTGCAAGGCTGAGAGTGCTTTGAAGCTTTGAACAGAAAGAATAAACACACTCTCCAGGTTTACTAGTCCTTTGTGTTATCCACTGCACAATATCAACCGCATAGCGCTGTCTTTGTCATTGTTCATTTTCTCCCATCACTGTTTTCCATCGATCAATTCTGGGACAAGCTGAGAACGCTTCCAATTTGGCTTTTCATACAGAATTATTGTTTTCACACATTACTGGAAATTGTATCGCAATTATTATCTGAACATTTGATGAACTTTTTGGCTTCTTTTTTGGCTGTGGTCACCTTGAGTGTTTGGAACCGGCAGTTCTTGAGAACCATTAGAGAATTGTTCTGTGACCAAGAATGTAGGTAGCCGTTGTAGAAGTCGGTTGCTGTCAACTTCTTTTTATGTATAATAGTTTTGACTCCAACCCAACCTTCCTAGAAAGGGAAAAGAGGGGAGAGAACACACACACTTAGCAAAACCTGCAAACCCACCAGAAGTGATTCCATGGCAAGAAGCTTAGGTGGAATCTAATATAGGATCCAGCATCCTGACATTAAATTCCAAATTAAAAAATACAAAACACATTTTGATTTGTAAAGGGCAAGTTAGAAAATCTATGGACGCTCTCCAGAAAAGACTCAGGGACTGGGTTGATAAAGAGTTTAATACTAACAGTTGTGCAAGGGACAATGTAACCCAAAGAAATGTAATAAATGTTGCATTTGACTGGCATTCTCTTTCCTCATCTCTCAGATGAAATGGAAAAGCACACATTTTGGGAGCCCGTCTGCCTTAAATGGGAGTAAGAATATCATGTGTGCACACACAAACCTACCTTGCATCGGATCATCAGGATCTTTAGTTGTTTGTGGTACAACACCAACCCTGGAATTGCCTCTTTCTCAGCTACAACCTTATCTGTAGAATGTATAAACAGTTAAGTCATTCTTACCTCTGCAACAGTAAAAATCCAAGTCCCAAAGTGTTATTAAAATCATACTTTGGTTAACTCTTACAGGGGAAGCCTGATTAGCTTAAATACTACAAACAATTGAATATATTCACAAAGAGACACAGTGGTGCAGTGGTTAGAAGGCATTACTGCAGGCTAGCTCACTGCTCATTCCAGGAGTTCGATTCTGAGCAGCTCACGTTTGACTCAGCCTTCCATCCTTCCGAGGTCAGTAAAATGAGGACCCAGATTGGTGGGGGCAAGAGGCTGACTCTGTAAACCGCTTAGAGTGGGCTGTAAAGCACTGTGAAGTGGTATATAAATCTATGTGCTAGTACTATTCTATTTTTTTATTCTATTCTCCATTCCATTCCTGTTTTATTGTTTTGTTCCATTCCCTTCTTGTTCTATTCTGTATTCTGTTCTATTTTCTATTCTGTTCTTGTTCTGTTCTATTCTTGTTCTATTCCTATTCCTCATTCTAGTCTCTCTTCTCTCTTCTCTTCTGCTATTCTCTTCTCTTCTCTTCTCTTCTCTTCTCTTCTCTTCTCTTCTCTTCTCTTCTCTTCTCTTCTCTTCCCTTCCCTTCCCTTCCCTTCCCTTCCCTTCATTGCTATTCTATTGTTCTGTTCTGTTCTGTTCTATTCTATTCTTTGCATGGAGAATTCTCTATTCTATTCTATTCTATTCTATTCTATTCTATTCTATTCTATTCTATTCTATTCTATTCATTGCTATTGCTAATGTCCTATACATTGTCACAGAGGGCAACCAAAAGAGAATATTCCTCACGCCTCCTTTTAGGTACCAAAAAGAGAGTCATTCTTTTCATGCAACATTTTTCTACAGCTCATTCTAAGATTTATAAGTTTAAAGACAAGGGATTTCATGTTCCTAGAAAGAAGAAGGCACTCAAGCAGTCTGATTCCAACAAGAAAGAAAAGGGAGGATTTGCAAAACAGGAAGTCAGAAAGTGTTCAGTTTTGTTTCATAGACCCGTCTATTGTTATTTAGACACTGCCAATATTAAAATGTTCTCGATCAGAGTGCTAAAGGTTTCTCATAAGTACCAGTAAAATTTGGTATCATTTCCTCTTCAAAGTCCAACAGTTTTACACTGGAACCCATCCAAAGCGTCTTTAGAGGCATCTAAAAACATACAGCACTGTATAAGTTATGTAGCTGCAGAAGATAACAAACATTTCGGTTAAATTATTCTTGTTCACTTCAAATAGAACCTAATTCCCACTTATGTCAAATTTAACACGATTTCTTTAAGAGTCAATTAGAAGAACCAGAGCAGTTTTTTCCTCCTCATCCTGAGGAAAGACAAATGTGAACCTTTTTCACACTGAAATGAATTTGGTTTAAGTAGGAAGCTAATCTACCGGATACTGTATTTTAACTGTATTTTAATTGGAAAGGAGGCATAGTAGAACCATAGTAGGACATATTTTTATGTACGCTCCATTTTATTCATTAAAAAAATCTATCACATCAAAAAAAAAAATAATCCTGCAATATTTCCCTATGTTTAAAAAAATTACACTGTAATTCCAGAACACAATTCCTGTTCCCACCACCACCCCAGTTTCATTCAAGGGCTGAAAATCAAGATGATCTTTGTAAAAAGCTCCTTCTGAATTTAAATATATCATTTATAAGAGTCCTCTGAGAGGCTGGCCTTACCATGGCTCCTAAGGCACGGTGTACCCTTAGTATCTGCTCAGCAGTTTGTTCTTCCCACTGAACGCAGCTCATTGCAATAGTGACTTTAGGAGCTTTAGAGGAAAAGAAAAGAAAATTGATCAGTTTTCGCCCCGCATCTTTAAACAATTTAAATGTTCTTTTCCAATATCCCAGGAACATTTAGAAGCAATTCTTTTCGGTGGACAAAGTAATAGATGCTCTTTAAATTAAGGGACCTTGGGCTTCCCTGGACACCCTCAGAAATCAACCTTTGGTTGCCAAGCTTTCAAGTTCATTACAAAGGATCCGAGTTTAAAAGGGAGGAAGGAAGTAGGGAGAATCGTGGAAAATGTGTTTCAACAGTCTACTTCAGGGGTGTCCAACCTTGGCAACTTTAAGACTTGTGGACTTCAACTCCCAGAATTCCTC